AAGCAGTCGTCTTCCACTCCCTTACAGAGTTCCCAAAATAGCACCAAATGTCAATATCAAATTGTGCCTGGATCCGTGACGTTATTAAGGGTATGTGTGTTAGGCACATCTCCAGTTTATATCCACTAACGCTGGGTATGTATACGTTCGCGGACTCATTTCGGTGTGTTATTATTCAAGAACGAGGAAAATAATTGAGCATTGTACGCATCGAGATGTCTGCCCTGGCAAATGCGTCAACTGCATATGCACAGACAAGATAATTCCTGGCACGCGATGTAAGCTCAACTATAACATGTCCAGGTCGATCGTGCTAAGTTTGGCTCGGAGAGTTTAAAAAAAAGAAAACAATAAAGAAAAGAGACTACCTTAAAGACTTTTCCAGGCCAAAGGACAAGACGGTAATCCTCTCAGCCGTTCGGGGAATCCCCAGGCTCCATTAAAACACAACCACCACGGTCTAGTCATAAGAGGTCACCGCAATCAACTAGCTGAACGACGTGTGCGTGACTCCATTTGCGTGTGACCCGTTTTGCGTTAAGAAACTGGGCTGCAGTACGTCTGAGTTGATGTAACCATCCTTCGAACTAAACAGCTCCCTCTCCCATGGTCGAGCCAAGCTTAGAAAGTTTGAATCAGCGAGCCGAAATGCATAAAGCCCTTATGTGTTATTTCAATAGTTTTCAATGGCCAAACCTCCCTCTCCAGCTGCAGCACTTGAGCGAGCTGTGGGTGTGGTGTGCTGTGTTTGTGTGTGTGTAGCCAGAAGGTAGGTTAAAGGGTGGTAGGGCTTCAGGAACTGACACGCTACAGGGATGTGTGTACCTACGCAGCTTGAAACCATCACACCCACAACTCTCCAACTCGTACCTTCAAAATCAGCCCACAGGAACATTCCCCTCCTTTAATCCATCTCGGTTCCCGGTTTACTTCCCTCCTCCCTCCTCAATCTTCTCGTTCTATCTCGTCGTCTCTCCTGTATCGCTCTCTCTGTCTCTTACACGGCTCTCTTCTCCTCTCTCCGTTTCTCTCATTCCTTGTTTAAGCAATCCTTGCACACTTTGTTTCCCTCCCATTCGTTCAATTGAATGTCTCTCCTGGTCTTCTCTCCTGCCTGTTCTTCTCTTCGCTCTCTGCAGGTCAATTCATTAGTAAGTTTGGGGTGGGCGTGCTCTATTGCGATGTACACTGAGTAGCTTTTCAGGGGGTAATTGTACATTTGTGTTTTTTTTGTCTTGCTGTTGTTTGTGTGCTTTCGAGTAGTTTCGTTTTTTTTTTTTGGTTTCTATGGTAAAACAAGCTGCTAAGGCGAAGAGGGGTATACTTTGGTGCTCCTCGCAGTGAGGGGGATATTCAGCACTGCCGGATCGGGGAGGGGCGGTGCGCTAGACTGCGTGGAATGGCACACAGGGGTGAACGCGTCGGGCGTCACGACAGCCGGCTAGTCGCGCGCCCCTGGAATCACCAATGAATCGCCCGTGTAGGCGTACTAGCACGTACTGTCTCATGTGTCGCATGCTTGTTATACTGTTGGCCCTCAAGTTCAATTTAGTAAATTTCTCAAATCGTTAAAGCAAAAACACACATAAATCACGTGACAACGTACGATGAACCAGTTCGATCATGAGAAATGATATAGCGAAATAATAGCTCCATTTGTTCGATGCCCCTGAATTTGAGTAAGAAGTTGCCATTATACTACTATTATTCAAGAAGTAATACCACTTCTCAAAGTAGTCATAACAGGACTTGAGATCCAGTTTCGAGTTTTGCCTTAAAAAGCAGAAAAACACAAACAATCTTGCCGTACCTTAGGTGGCCTCTGACACTGGACCTTTAAATTAAACCTAAATTATTTTAGAGATAATGTTTGGTTCTGTACCTAGTGTTAATGTCTGTGTGTAAATTGTTCATAAATGCGCTTTGAAAAGTTGCAACATGGTCATCTAACTAAATGAACTACTAAAATAATACAAAATACTAAAATGAATCTCCTATTAAAAACATGTGGCATTGTCTATAACTGTATACAGTATACTGAAAATTGCTGGTCTCTGAGAGCAGTGCCAGAGGTATGAAACTGGTATAATACAAGGTAGAGAGCCGGAACCACCTGGCCGAGGATAAGGCAAACAGCGTAGACCAGGAAGAGATGGAGCATTGGGACCGATTTAACTCCAGCAGCTAAAACAACAAAAAACACACTACACAGCTGGATGGACAAACCTAAAAAGTCCCTGTTTCTTACCCTGTCACCAATGCTTTGCTGTGTGTTCAACTGAACATATAAAGAAAACAGAAAGCACAAACCTGCTTCCCTCTTGGAAAAAAAACGGATGACAATCTTTCCCTATCCTTCCTTCCTCATCTTTGTATCCTACATGTGTTGGCACATTTGTTCACGCTCGCACACCAGTTTTCATGCGGGGTTTGATGTAGATCTACTGATTTTTTTTATTTGTTAAAGAAACGATAAAAAAGGAACAAAAAGCTGAACACATTATCCACCTGCACGGCCGAAATCAGTGAGTCACTGTTTTGATACTGAAGCAAAAATAAAGTTAATGGAAGACGGCTTAAAACCATGTGTGGGCTCCGGTATAAACCTTGGCCTGAGCCTTTAGTCCACTTCCAGTATAAATACAGTAATTGAGTGAAACATCCATGTTCTATTTATGAGCTTGTTGCATAAGAACAGAGAGAGAAAGAGAGAAAATGGCTGTAGAGAAAGGCCAGTCTCAGACAGAAACAACTTTAGAAAGAGGGGACCGATTTAGAGAGTCGAGATCCACAGATAGACAATAAACCAGAGAGGACACAGATATTTCAGTAACAAGCTGCTGTTTTTCTTTTCTCTGGGCATTTTTAGCATTTAACTTAAGTATAATGACATTTTTAACAAAACCCAACAAAGAGCAGCTCAGGACATTTGATCCTGTCTAATGAGGGGCGTGCATGTTTGAATGTTTGTGTGTGGGTGTGTGTGAGGGAGGCCAGAGCTTGGTCAGCCATTCATTAGATGTTCTCTCCCCATCAGTGGCAACTGATTAGTTGCATTAAGTTGTAAGACACACCACACTATTCACAGGCTCTGCTGTGTGTGTGTGTGTTTGTTTCCTATCTCCAGAGGCAGTCCTCAAATGTTGAGGGGAACTTTTTTAGATATTTGATATTTCTCTCCTAAAACATGCAATGTGATGCTGAGACCAGCTGCCACCTTTGCTTGGGGACACCGTAGAGTCTTTGTCTGTCTGTATGTATGTGTGTGTGTGTGTGTATACCCACATGCACAGGAAAGTGATTGAGGTGTGAGTCACTTTGAGTCATAGCTGCTTTATTTAGCTCACTTGTTGAAAGAGAAGAGAAGACATAATAAGACACAAGAAGGGGTGATGACAATCACAAAGACAAAACAAGAGAGATAAAATCAAATCAAAGAAAATATAAAAAAAAGTCAAACAGCAGTAGTGCTACAGCAATCAATCATAACTGGTACTTAACTGTCCAAGAGAAAATAAACCCATACTCTCCTCCTTGCCAACTCCTGATTCAGTCTCAGTCGGATCTAATCTTGGCTGTTAGCAGGTGTCGCAGAAAACAGTCTACAGCTTAACTAGCTGGTCTGTGAAGTGTACTGTGTGTTCTTAGGCTAACACTGACATGCTAACATACTCAGAATGAACAGTAACATACTGATGTTCTGCAGATATATGGTTTACCGCGTTCACTAGTGTAGTGTGTTTTGATTTTGCAGAAAAAGCACAGGTGGATCGAACACACATCTAAAATACTAACATTGGTGGCTCCATTTAATTGTCCCAGTGAGTGCACAATACCAGGGCTTTAAACAGGCTAGACTACATGGACTGCAGCCATTGTTTATGTTACCAGTTACACCTGTTCTTTTCTGGCTATAAAAATGATACCTTCAAGTTAATAAGTACTTGATGTCTAGAGCACTCTGTTGATGTGTATACTCATGTACATCCACAATAACAGTTTTGACATGAAAACTTGGAAGACTTTGTGCAAACCTACAAAACTAAATTAAAAAAAAAAATCCATTGGCTCAAGTCCCAACTGTTGTCTCGCAATTACTTTCATTTTCCTCTCCTCCTTCCCGATCTATAAAACAAAGATTGCTTTAAGAAAACAAAGATGAGCAACATCTGCAAGATTGGCACTTACAGTGAGGAGAGACAGGAAGGGAATGTGCCGAGAAGGAAGGATGGGAAGGGATGAGAGGAAACGACCTGTGGTTATCTTACAATGTTTTTTTTTTTTTTTCATTTTCATTTTCAAACTGGAAAGAAAGTTAAAGAAAGTCTAACTTTCTGGTCTGGTCACAAGTCAGGAGGACTTGGTCTTCAGTGCTTTCTTTTCACTATGTTCAGCTCTATAAACACACATGTAAGATCTATTCTATTCTACATCTATTCTAAAACCTTTCCAAAACAAGTGAATTAAAGAAAATAACATCTTATTCTTTGTCTGAAATAAGTTTTACAGTTACTTAAAGCACTTTGAACACACACTTAAAGAAGCTTATAAGCAAACACACTTTCAAACACAAATACATGCATGCTTGCAGGTATTCCCTTACAAGTGACACGTACCGTTTCACTCTCTCTTACACACACACACACACTGCTCCCCTGACACAAT